CCTGAGCAGATGTGTACAATGGCTAGAGAACAACCTCAGGTGAGTTGGGATTACGAATGATTCTTTTAAGATATTAATTCATTTTTGGTTGTAAAATAGTAATTGTATCAATGAGAACAAAATTTTTCATTCAGTAATCCCAAATATCTGATTCGAAGAGAAAGAGGCGATTCTCTTTAGTAAAGTTACATTTGATGTCGTATTGGTTATCACTGAAACATCAGAACGTATCTTCGTTGATATTATGTGCTATAAATTTGTGAATGTATCGGGCAAAAGTTATTTGATAGAAAAGAACTCGTTGACTTTGCTTAACGTTTCTCGGCGAAAAAGTAATCGTTCAAATCGCTTTGTCACAAAAAGACTGTGGAACTGAGCTGAGAATTAAATCGTCGTTGAATTTTTTGATGGCATTTCAATGTAATTTTAGACACTAGCCAACTATTCGGTGTCGGATGCAGTGGCGACGTATTATTTGTACATGAAATACGTACATCCGTTCATATTCGCGTTGTGTACGATCATTCCGCTTGGACCCGATGATGTGAGTAGTGCATTTCAGTTAGATCACGCAAATTTTTGATTGTGAAAGGATCGATCTGTTTGGGGTGTATTCATTTGATTAATTAATTAATTGATTAATCAGAATTATTATGAATATATAAGACTCTTGCTCATTACAATATTGCAACTGTACTAATGATAGCGATAATTTTGTTGACAAGTTCCATCAAACTCAATTCGATTTTTAGGTTCTACGAAAAGGTTCAGGAACGTTATGTGAGGCGTTGTTGATGGTTGAAGCATTTCACAACAATATAATATTTCCGAATAAATACATTCAATACGGTAGTAAAGTAACCGACGATGGTCATTTGATTGAGAGCGAAACTTATGTGGGTGGACATGTGGAGGCGATTGAATCCGGTGTGTTCCGAGCAGATCTTCCTGAAAGGTTTGTTTTTTGTTTAGTGTAATATTTCGATTGGTTTTTGCCTTTTGGTCACTTATTGAATGTATGAAAACCATTTATATTAACTTAATTTTATAGTTTAAATAAATATTAATTCGGTGGTTACGATTGCAGTAACTCAAATAATTACAATACTTCATTGCGAGTTTATACCCCTTTGTCAGCTATTCAATGGAGAAACCATTAATTTAGTATGTATGGAAACGAATGTATTCTCCGTTAACTTCCTTCATACGAATATTCGATTAGTGAAATGTTTTCAGCGGATTGTTTTGAAATAATA